CGACCCTCTTGCGATCCTATAGGGGTTGACATCAGCCTTGAACCTTGAAGAGCATCGGCTGCTCCATCCGACATCATCCCTCTGCGCATCTGCGCATTCCTGGTACCTTATCGTAAACTGCTCACGCTGCTCATATCTCTTGGTCCCAGGTCGTTCCGTTGGACATCCCGGCGGACATGCGCAACAAGCTGTTCCATGCAATGTCCCAGCGCATACCTGGTAGGCCGGTACTGTATAGAGTAAAATGTAATGTTTATGTATATTACATATCTTTGACTGTCCGCTTCTCTCCTCTTCCGGTCCTAGGATGTTCCGTTCGATGCACCGGACACGTCCTGCTCCCATACCTTCACTGTTCTGTCCTTTTCCAGGCCCCCTGAGGCGATCTTGTTCTCCGTGGGGTGACAGGCCACAGTCAGCACGGTGTCGGTATGCCCCTCGAGCTTTTGTAAAACTTCTCTGGACTGTAGATTCCACACGTAGATCAGATTGTCCTCGGAGCCGCTGACAATGTACTTGCCACTGGTCACTGAAAAGGTGGAGAAGATGCAGAACTGCTTGTTCTCGTGACCGGTGTATGTCTTCAAGCATTTGCCGTTCGCATAGTCCCATAGCCTCTGTGCGGGATGAACAACGACCACGCAACCAAACCAACCAATCAAAACAAAACCAAACCAAACAAAACCAAACAAACAAAACCAAACCAAACCAAACCAAACCAAACCAAACGAACCAAACCAAACAAACCAAACCAAACCAAACAAACCAAACAAAAAAAAGCAGACAAAACCAAACCAACCAAGCAACAAAACAAACCCAAACGAAACTAAACCAAACCAAATGAAACCAAACCAAACTAAACCAAAACCAAACTAACCAAGCAACCGAACAAAACCAAACCAAACAAACAAAAACCAAACAAAACCAAACCAAGCGAGCAACCAAACGAACCTAACAAAACCAAGCCGATGCAGCAACCAAACCAAACGAGACAACCAAACGAAACGAGGCAACCAAACCAAGCAAACAAAACAAGCGACCAAACCAAGAAGACAAGCAAACAACCAAGGCAGCAAGGACAAGAACGAAACCACTATGTGTAAAACCGTCGCGCAAATGTCAACAAAGGCATCATCAGCCAAATCAGCATCAATCGAAGCCTTGTATTCTCAATAGACCGCGATACCAATAGCAAAAATATAACAACAGCGTTTGTCTTCCTTCCAGCACACCATTTGCGATCAACAAAGTCCCACCAAAGGCTCTGTAATGGACAACAATCAATCAATCAAGCAAGCAAGAATGCAATCAATCAATCAATCAATCAATCAAGCAAGCAAGCAAGCAAGCAAGCAAGGCAATCAAGAAAGCAAGCACGCAATTAAGCAAGGCAATCAAGGCAATTCAAGGCAATTCAAGGCAATTCAAGGCAATCAAGGCAATTCGAGGCAATCAAGGCAAAAAGGCAATCAAGGCAATCAATCAATTCCAGGCAATCAAGGCAATTCCAGGCAATCAAGGCAATCAATCAATTCCAGGCAATCAAAGCAATCAAGCAATCAAGGCAATCGAAAGCCAATCAAGCAATCAAGGCAATCGAAAGGCAATGAAGCCAATATAGCAATCAAGGAAAACAAAAGACAATCAAGGCAACCAAAAGGCAATCAACGGCAAACAAAAGACAACCAAGGAAAACAAAAGGCAAGCAAGGGAAGCAAAGCAAGTAACAACAAGACGAAGAGCACTTCCAGAAACCCTAAACCAACATCGACAAAATACCATGGTCTCTCCGCCAAGCAAAAGAAGCCTTTTGATGAAAAGCAACATTTCTAAGGCAACAACAACAAAAATAACAAAAATAACACACCCAAAACGAAAGCTACGTGGATGTGCCACATTATTGCAAAATCAATCCAGACAAACCACCTCTCGTCGAAGCATTTCCAGTGTAGCATTACAATCTGCATTGACTGATAGATCACTATGATATGACACACCATCAAACGACATTCACTACCCGACCCAACATGAAAAAAACGTAGTTATTCTTCATTCAAATCACGAATCCAGCAAAACAAGTAGACCATATTAAACTTGCTGCCTGGGGTACGAACCGGGCCACCTGGGTCGCCTTGGTTTTGCCAGGGCAGCACGGGCCGGGCAAGGACCATGGAAGGTCCCCCCCCCCCAAAAAAAAAAAAAACAAAGAACAACAACAACAACAACAACAACAACCTGAAAAGATAACTACGCTAGGCAGAAAACTAGGGGGCAAGGGCAAAAGTAAGCACAGCACACACGATATTCAGTCATAGAGTGTTGACAATCGGCAAAGACCCGCACAGCGGGATGTCAAATTGAATTAATTCATGTCATAGACGTCCGATCCACGATTGGTGATTGCCCCACCAATCGTTCCACAACCCCAGAAACCACCGATACGATCTGAACAAGCAAAAATGGCAGCTGCCGACAACAAGGTCGACAGCGTGCGGTCGTGGGCAGCAGTTTACCCAAAGCGTCAACTGGGGTCGGCGGCCACTGAAGAGAGTCAGCCGAAAGAGGATGGAAGAAATCGAAACAGCTAACTATACACTACACACTGCCTACTAAACAAAGGATTAGACCCCAAAACGCCTCACCAGGCCGGCGGTCAGTTTCCAGACGGCCCCTCTTTTCCTCTTTTCCTCGCAAAGTTATCCACGACCTTCAGGAAAAGGTCAATCCGGAAACCCTTTCGCTGCAAAATCTTTTTTTTTTTTTTTTTTTTTGTAACATTACTTCGCCTGTCATCTTTTCTTTTCCCTCATTGAAGTGCTGCTGTCGATCCGGTTCAACCACTTCAATGCGGGAAATAGCCGCTGCCTTCTGGCTTTGGCTCGACCAGGAAGTAAAATCCTGGGCTGCCCTGATTGTCAGACTAAGGCCCTTTTTCAAATCCGCCTCATTTTTCACTTTTTTGAAAACGGCCAACAAATGAGGATGATTTGAAAAAGGGCCTTAGTCTGAAAAAATAGACTGAACGACTTTTGCCTAAGGGTCAAATTGAAATTCCTCCTTACCAAAACTGTGAAAAATGAGGATGATTTGAAAAAGGGCCTTAAGGTACTTGTCCCGGATCTCCAAAGCACAACCGGTCAAATTGAAATTCCGTACTAAACCAACTGGCCTAGTCGCTCAGTTGGTACACACCCCTGAACTGTTGAAATACAGAAATATTTCTTATTTTTAGCTTTCTATTGTTTATTTTGCCCCGGCCGGGCAAGTGGGCCCCCGCCACTCTGGTAGCCTAGCCTGACTGCAATGACTGCATAATATAATATAGTAAACACTAAATGGTAAATAATATAACATTAAAAAAATCGAAAAATAGCAAATGATATAGTAAATACTAAATAGTAAATAGTAAATAATATAACATTAAAAAAAAGCAAGTGTGTATTTACTAACAGAACCTTGCATATGCGAAACCACATCAAGAAGCCGGAACGGAGAACAGACAGCGAGAAAGAGTACGCAGGCCAAAAAATAAAAAATAAAAAAGGGTGGGCGGGGGGGGGAGAAATCCAAAAAAAAAAGGAGGGTCTTTATGTTTTTTTTTTTGTTTTTTTTTTTTGTTTTCTTTAGTAGAGAGTCGGGTTCACGTCTCTCACAGAAAAACAAAAAGCGAAAGGGGTAGTTATATTCGAGTTTTTTTTGGTAGTGAGGGGTTTAGAAGGAACGCTTAGCAGCCAAACTCGAATAGAACTCTGCGGGTAAGTTCTGTTCAGGGGAAAAGACGACAAAAGCAAAAACACGCAGAAAAGGGTACACTGCCGCACTACTCACAAGCCGTGAAAAACGGCGGCTGCATCTTCACATAGAATGTGTCAAGATACGTTCGCCAGCTGGTATGAAGCATGGCGCATGTATCTTGCCACATTCTACGTGAAGATGCACCCGCCATTTTTCACGGTCTGTGAGTAGCGCGGCATATCTATACCACCGCCTCTTTGCTGTTCGTTTTCTGACGACTAGGCTAGGGAGGTGTTTTTCTCTTTTTCCCTTACCTTATTTAAAAAGCAGATCTATTTCCTACCTCGCCGAGCATCATCTCGAGATCGGGATCGATTAAAATTCGAATCGGGATCGGTTATCTTCTCGATCTTCCCGTTCGCGCGCCGCGTGTACGTGCAGAATCTCTTCTTCTTTCCTTTTTTTAAGTAAAATTTACCTGTTTCGTTCCGTTTTACCCCGAACACGACGCATGTTCATCAAGACTGTATCAGACCGGAAAGATCGCTTGTATACATTCATGATGATGATGATGATGAGGGTGCGCTGTGTTCGGATGTATCACACCGGAAAGATCGCTTGTATATACATTCATGGTGAGGGTGCGCTGTGTTCGAGGGAAGACGTCAGTCTTACCAGTCGATCTCATTTCCACCACTTGAGATCGCGATCACCCAGCGCCTAAATCGGGATCGGGATCGGATATACCCCTTATCAATCTTTCTTTCATCACCTTTCAACCCCTCTTTTTTTTTTTTTTTGGGCCTTTCGTGTTTTTGAGAATAAGAGAATTGAAGGACTGTCTAACAGACTGAGGGCCTCGCTCCACTGCCCAATATTAGACTTGTATGTGGACAGCATTAAGACCAGATACATTTGAACTGATCCGACATTTCAAATGGATCGGCCCATCATTAGGCTCCAGATGCATGTAGAATGTAGAGTACTGGAGCGACCCTCTAAAGTATTCGCTAAAATATTGCTCCCTCAGCCCACCTGCAATTTAAATCAATTATGAATAACCATGAAGGCAGCCAAAAAAAAACAAAAATCCCCATTCGCAGAGATCCTCCGCTGTAGCCTCTTTTGGATGATATACTACGATTCAAAAAAAAAAAAAAAAAAAAAAAAAAAAAAAAAAAAAAA